CAATTATACGCAGTGTAAATTTGATATCACAATATCAAAATCGTTCAAAACACAGAGACTTTGTACAGTTCCCTACTGGTTTCGTAAACAAATATTCACAAGACTATTGTTACACCATTATTATTATTTGAACTTCATCAATGTTTCTTGTGTTCTAAATTAAAACTGAGGCTTACCATAGGCCTATCAAATATTTAACCCCGTTTTACAGCAGCAATGTCTCATATTACAGTCCACTCTTGGTAATTCAAACACTTGATAATTCAAAACTTTCGATAATTCAAAATGAAGGCTCAGTCCCTAGAGAATCTCTCAATATTTCAAATTTTTACCATGCATTTTGATACACTCGGTATTTCAAAGTCCAAATAGAGGGCAGGTCAATTTGTAACACACAGTAATTCAAAGTTTCGTCGGAAAAACACTCTATAATTCGAAGTAACTCAGTAATTCGAAGTTTCGTCGGTTAACACTCTATAATTCGAAGTCATGCTGTAATTAGAAGTTTCGTCAAAAAACACTCTATAAATCAAAGTCGCGCAGTAATTCGAAGTTTAGTCGGCAAAACACTCTATAATTCGAAGTGATCTCTTCCTGTTATTTTGTTATAAAGTTCATAAAGTTTGTTATAACAGGAAACTATACAGTACAGTACATCCTGTTCCCATGGTAGGCTGGTGTTGGATGTTTTGATGTTTGTTTAGTTAGAGCAGTAGTCTGAGTTAGTTCGCTGACTTGTTTTTCTAAGTTGGCAATCCGATCTCTAGATTGCGCGACATCTCCTTGAGCACAAATGTAGTTGTCGACAGCTGATGGTTCAGCTATTGGCAAAATATATGGCGCTAAATAATAGATTTCTTTCCAACTACAGTATCTGAAAAATAAGCCGTTGATTGTGTACTAGAATACGGTATGATGTTTTATTATAACGTGCTGTACCTTTGTATGTATTAAACAAATGAACTCTCTGTAATTCGAATGGTTTATTTTTCTCCCGATAAATCAAACTCTTGATAATTCAAAACTCTTGATAATTCAAAACTCTTGATAATTCAAATTTTCATGCTTGGCCCACCAATTTCGAATTATCAAGAGTCTACTGTACTGACAAATCAACTGGTGCCTGTTTCCCTATAGCAGACAGATGTTGTAAATCATAGTGTAGCCAAGGGGTTGTCGGGTATTGTGTGAAGGCAATGCCCTTATACCCGAACTGAACGAACGCTCTGCCACCCCCCATGTTCTGTCATTTCACTTTCTCTTTTCTCTGAGCACCTTTTGCAGTTTTTATTTGCTTTGGGCGTTTTGTGTGGTCTTTATTTCAAGCTCGTTCACTAGTTCCAAAGTGTTAGGTGGATGTATTCTACTATACTTAATAGATTAAAATTTAATTGTGATATGTGGATAAATCAATTTATTTATTTATTGATAAAATATCACACTTTCTTAATTCCAATTAAATATTTGATTATAAATTCTTACAACAAAACATTTACAACATGACGGGTTTGATTACGCAAATTTGTATTTAAGTTATTCTCATCGGCGTTTTAAATTTGATTAGATAGGAAATTGACACATATCTACAGGACATCTTTTTTATCATTCAAATTCACTAACCACTAAAATATCACGATAAATATTAGGATACGAGTCCCTGTCTAATATCTCAGATTCTTAGCGAAGCAGTTAAATTAATGATCAGTCGCGCTTCACCTCTAACAACACGAATTCGAGGCGAGCGGGGAGCGGATGTGCAGTTCCGGCAAGTCACGTGGGCGCGGGTAGCATGGCTCAGCTGTCGGCTGTCTGTACATTGCGTCGTAAAAGCAGACAGCACTATGTTTTCATTGCCCGCCACATCGTGGCAGCACCTACTGGTCGGTGACGTCAGCGCTATGATCGCCCCTTCCCGCCAGAGTGTGCTGATTGCTTGTTCACAACCAAATGCATGGGGCTTTCAATCTAGTAGTGTTATATCGTCAATGCCTATACCCTGGTCGAGATGGACAAGTAAGAGTCAGGGGTGCCCACAGGGGGGTTTGATGTCGCAAAATGCGACATCAGAATTTTATTTGGGGGGGATTTTGTGATTTTGGGGGGGATTCAAGCCTGTGGTTGGTTAAAAGCACATAAAAGATTAATCAGATAATTTTTACGACCTCCTTAATTTATTACTGGGGTAATTATGCAATCAAAATCCCGTTTGACATTTTATCTTGATTAATACAGCATTTTATAACTGCTATAAAATATATGGATACTTTTATCTATGCTTTTATGTGGATGGATTTCCACTTTCTGACTCGTATCATGTTTGACAGTGAGAACAACTCCATGACAACTGCTGTCAAAGGATTATGGTTGCTTATTCAATTGTATCTGCAATTTGAGTTTGTTTTAGCCTTTCATTATGAACTCATTCTCAAATAGTCTCATTGCCTTGAGGACCTATTGATGGTTTTATAGGTTTGTTTATTATAATATATTCTTGATTCATAAAAAAAAACCAGTATTATGATAATGATAATCATTTTGCTATTTTTACAACATGAAAGCTTGTGATAATATTTTGGCTCTCCTAAATAATTATGCCTGGGTCATATTTATTCATTGGAAGAAATTGACATACAGTACTGTGACATTTAATTAAGGTTTTTGATAGGCTATGTGTTTACGTTAACTTCAAGAACTGAAACACATGATTATGGATTAATTAAATTGTATTTGTTATTGTCTTTTCTTGAATCTAGAAAGAGATTCAAATAAATTTTACTAGTCTTAGAATAGATATATAATTATTTTTTTACGCCACGCTACACTATTTTGACGAACTTCCCATGCAAGGATTTAGTCCAGAAAACAGCTGTTGTCCTTAATCAAATGGGGTTTCATACAGTACTACACTGTACTGTAATGAGTTTTGCTGGACACCAATCAGCTGATTATACTGTAGGGCCTATTTAGGTGGCAATGAGTGGTTATAACAAAAACACCTCTAGTGATTTTTAGTCCTTTAGTTGGTGGTAATATAGGAATTTGAACGGATTTAGTAGTATGGCGTAAACTATCGTACGTCACTCGCCCAAAATGTGTTGGCCGGACTCGTATAAAAAAAAACACTACTCGACTTCGTCTCGCACGGGATTCAGGACTAGTAACGTAATATACTATTTTACCACACTATGATGTTTTTAACTGTTTTACATAAAGGTACATTAATTGGTGGCTGAAACGCTGAAAGTTACGTTTTGCAGGCCATGCCAGCTGTCATCGTCATTTGGGGGTCGAGCAGGGTTTTACATCCCTAGGGCCGCAAAATCAGCTGCCCGCTTTAAATACGCAATCAGTATCCATAGCATTGCAATAGAGATGTTTTATTGTCACCGCTGCCTAGCGACTATTCATTATTGTTTTTGCTGATTCCTCAAACTATTTATCCACATGACCTTAAAGTTGTAGTTGTGTTGACTATATCAGTGTGCAGTGTATTATCATTGAGGTGAATTAGTGGCAATAGAGTATAGTGTGGGGTGGTGAATAATAGCGTTTGTACCACGGACTGAAATGGTTTTTCAGTTCTCGATCGTTTTAAGTCCTCAACCTCGTATCGGACTTAATAACTACCTCGAACCAGCAAAACCTCATTTTGGCCCTAGGCACTAAATATACTATTAAGTTTAGGCCTAGTAATATTTTTGAGACTGAATATTTTACACCTATTTAAAAAGGACCAAACTCAGAGGTGGATTAAAGGGCAATTTAGAAAATATCTCAAACTTTTTGACACAACTTCAAGTACTTTCTCCCCTACAATTTAATATGGTAAAAGCATTTTTTATGTAAAAAACCTGATCCCAAAAAAGTGGTTTTCGAAGTGATGTGTGTGTCTGTCTGTATGTGTGTATGTATGGTACAGAGCTACAGACCACGCCTGTGGTCCGAGTCCGATTTTGATGAAATTTGGTATTTTAGGTACCAATCCATGGTCTCTCCAGATTTTTTTTTCATTTTGGATTTTTAATAGTGATATATTCCATTACCCTATAAAAATAATGGATAAATAAAATTTTCTCAGAATTGGCCCGAACGATTTTGATTAAAAATTAACATGTTACACTCTTTGACTATGGCCAATTTTGATTCAAATTGTGTGCATGTCAAAAATCCAACTCATTTAAATTAAAACTAAACCAACAAATAGTTTGCTACTAGAGTTTTAAAGGAAAATTGTCCATTTTTATTGGGTTTAAAGTTTGATTCAAACGCTTAAATTCCCATAAGTTTAAAGAAGTGTCGGGGGCACCCCTTCCCTCCCCGCATTATAAACATAACTATGGGTTAGCCCCCAGACCTTCCGGCATGGGTATGTTAAACAACGAATTTGGGGGGGATTCTGCGACGTGAGCTTTGGGGGGGATGGGCACCCCTGGTAAGAGTTGTTGACACTACAACACCAAAAGGTACTTTTCGGCATCCGATGACAAAAATTGCCATTCTACCTGAGGAGGGGAAAGATGTTAACGACTAATTTCATATATATGTATGACCATTGATTAATCCTTATATTTCTGTTGTATGATTTATTTGTGAAGATAAATTACCACATGTTTTAATAATGTTAAATAATGAGTAAATAAATAGTGATGGAAATGTTGTACTGAAATTGACTATTCTTATTTTGACTTTGATAATTGACAATTTAATAAATGGTTACATAAAAAACTAGATTTATTATTCTAAGTCATCTGAGAGAAATAAAACTGATGGTATCACACGATACATTATTTCACCATTTTTATAGTACAGGGCACTGACTAATAGATTATGTTAGAAGTTAATAGATTATGTCAAATTGTTTCCAAAATAACAATCAATAGATTTTGATGTTTTCAGCACAACATTATAAATTTGATTATTAGTAGTGTCAAACAATTAGTTTTTTAACTAATATAATTTATTTAAAAATACAGTCAATAATAAACTAAAATAATACAAACCCTTCAAACAAATGGCCATCAATTCTGCTAAGATGGCACATGAAATTTCTGCTACTTGTCTCAAAGATGTGTTAAAGCTGTTAAGTTCTTCTGGTACAGACCTGACAGTGTACATGCCATAATACTCTACAAAATGTGCAACAGTTGGCTGGGCCAATGCAAAGTTATGGAAAGAGAGAACCATAGCTTCAATTTTCATAAAATCATTGTTCCTGTAACGAAACCCATCAAATTTGTTTAATTCTGATATTGATGGTACCTTGTACTCAACTTCCTCAAATTTTGCTGAAACAAAAAGAAAAAATTTAAAATTCATTGAGTATAACAGAAGCAAGCAAATATGAAATATTACAGTCAGAATGGATTGAAATAAAATTAAAAATAACTAAATAAACCAATAATACAAACTTGATAAGAAATAAACATAAACAAACGGGAAATAACTGTATAAGAATAAGAATAAGAATAAGAAAGTGTATTGCCGTTGACCAGGTTGTATACAGGAATAGGCATTGTCAAATTACAAACAAAATATCAACAAGTATGTTATATCTATAGCTAACAAAGATTGAAAATTCCTAACTTACAGTGTGAATGATTCCATTGTAATTTTATGTTTCAAAAAGTCCTTGACTGAATAGAACGGATTTGCTACAAGCCAGTTGTACTAAGCTAACTAAGCTGGGCTCAACACCATATAGCCTACACAACTCATGGATAGCTGGCTCAGTGTTGGCCATGCGGTCTAGCTTCCCCCACTCATGACTGGTAGAAGCCCCTGCAGCTTATACACTCACCATTATAAAACGTACCTTTTCGCTGTTGCGTGTATGTTGAAATATATAGAAATAATATATTCTATATATTATTATATATATTTCTATATATATATTCTATATATATTCTATATATATATTCTATATATATTCTATATATTCTATATATTCTAACGCATGTAAAACTCTTTTTACTATTCAAAAGCTTTATGTCTGTTTTTTTAATAAGCCAATTATAACTAATACTAATATTCGGGTAGTTTATTAAAAAAGCGAGTTGAGTTGGTTTTGAAGGAGTCGCCCATTTTAGCCAGTCTATAAGGTTTTACTTTACTCGTCAATGAATACAGTTTTAACAAGGGTTTATCCATAGGAACTTACCTGCTAACATTATGCACACGAGAGCAACACATTGAAGCCGATCCGGGTCAATTGAATGATTGTCCATAAACATATCAAGTAAAAAAACTCCAAGATGGACTGTTTTGTGACTAAGTTTGATTTGTTCACAAACATGGATGAGCCACTCTATCAACTGCCTTCGACATTTGAGCTGAAATAAAAACACATGCATACCAAGAGTAGCAAAACCAATTTCAATAATGAAAACAAATTATCCTATTCCTAGTATTCTAGTAGGCCTGAAGGCTACGATTATACTAGGACGCTGGCGAAATGGGGGCGATTAGACAAGGGATGCCAGTATTGGATGCTAAAAAAACCACCGAATGCTCCATTTTAAGCATCCCAGCTGGGACGCTGAAATTCACGTGTCCGGTGACTTTTTGTCTCCCGGGATGCATTTCGGACTCCAGCCTCCTAGTATAATCTTAGCCTATAGTTCAGGCCGCTTAGAAAGTGACCTCCTCTAGCATTGGTTAGGAGGTCGCTTTCTAAGCGGCCGAACTATAATAGCAGTACAAACTACAGTAGATAACGAGGCCAGTCCGGATAACGGGTTTTCCGGTTAAACCGACGTTCCCAAAAACTCTATAAAACGGACTGTTTACTGTGATATTCGACTTAAATTTATGAGAGCATTGTATTTACACACGTGATCACTGGTCTCAAATATTTCCCACGAGAACAGTCGTTTCAGTACTGCCCACTATCTCCCTGGCACACTTGTTCAAAGGTCGGATATCTCTGTAACATGAACTGGCGGCAACAGACTGAATTGGGTCATGACTGCTGTGAATTGTATTAGGCGTATTGGATAAAATTTCAATCAATTCGTGGTTGTTTAAATCCAGTAAACAACAATTGGAATTTTGTCTGATTGGCGATGGTTCGTGGTTGTTTGCGATCAGCAAACAACAATCGGGATTTTGTCTACTCGGTGTGACATTGTGACATTATGACATTGTGACATGATCGTTCGTAGCATTTATGTCAATTGATTGCTCTAAATTCCTTCTTTCCATTCGAACACGTCTGGCTGTCGTATTATATTCGGGCCCAAATTGTCGCGGCATTTTCTCGCTAGGTAACAATTACAATTGACGTTAAATAGATCTCTGTTTTACGAAAAATAATACTTCACGACGACGAACGACAATTGACAGTGATTCACAACACAATACACAATAACAATAACAATAAAACTTTCTAATAATTCAAACAACTTCAGTGAATCACACAGAATCAAACAATACCAGGAAATCACGCGATGATATCGTTTATTTGTAAAGAAAAATAAAAATATTTATTTGTAAAGAAAAATAAAAAGGCTCCGACTTATATATTTAAATATATATAACTCTCCTTGCAATACTCTCAATGATTAATTCTTTACAAATCTTGGTTGCCCCTGGGTTGGAAGAACAAGAGAACAATAATAAACAACAGAGCGTTGGCAGTGGAAGTTTGATGTTGATAAATATTGAGTGGGCCCTGTAGAATAAAATTATTTCCAGAGATCCTTAGGGGACGTCCCTGGTACTGTTTGAAGTTCTTCCAGATTTGGAAACAAACTTAAATATACACTGACTCTACTTTGCGCACTACCACACTAATGTTTAGTGTTGCATTTAAATGTGAATCTTTTGTAGTGGCTTCTTATATATAATAAATACCAAACTCTTTTGAATGAATTTGTTCTACCAAGAATGAAATACCAAGGTTATTGGAAACTCTGAAAATATATAACAATTTGATTTATTGCGCTGTACTACATAAATAAAAAGTACACTGGTTTCTTTATGTAAATAAAATATTTCGACAAACATTTGAAAGTAGATAAGATATTAACGATCTCTTTGAAACCTTGAATGCCATCGCTATTGATATCTTTATTTTACTAAAAATTACAGAAACAACCCCTTGAAAGGAGAAGCGTTTGACACGGTTACAATTTGATCACGGCAATGGCAATGGAGTGTGAATTAATCTAATTTTGAGATGACCAGTACTACTAATCCTTCTCGTTGGCCAACGAATATTAATTGAAGATCATAATCTCGTAGTCCAACTTGTTAGACAGTATAACTGTTTGTAACTCAGTAAAACGTGTTGAAAGATTATTTATTATTTATGGCTAAACAGTACTATGGCGGTTTATCTATTGTAAAACACACACGACCCCATGTGACACTGTCCCACCTCCTCGAACCTGCTATCTATACCTCAACTTCCAGTTAAAAATTTTCTAGACTATAACAGTTTTTGCGCCTCCCTAAGCCCTGCGGCTCAATGCTCCGCAATTGGTTGCATTGGCGTTAGTTAGGCAACTGTGCGGGAGAGTTGGAAGGTCTGGATTAAACAAGTATTCTGACTATGTACTAATTCTACACTGAACTAACAAGGTTCTCAATATTATCAGCCAACTTTTATAGATTGCATTCATCAGGTCTATTAAACTTCACCTTAAACTGATTCTAATTTTTTCAAACCAAGTATTTATTAGTGTCTGGTCTTCCAATGTTTTTTTCTAAACAATTAAAAATGTAAGCCTAAATTACAAGGTACTATCAAAAGTGACACAATTCTCTAACAGTTCCATTTGCTTTTGGTTTAGGAATAGCACATTGTGAGAGATATGATCTGAATAAGCTACAGAATATGAAATGTACCTGTGGTGAAGCATGATTGTATTTTCGCCGTTGTATTTCCTTGCTTTTCCAATGTTCTTCTATTTCCCTGGCGTATTGGGAGAAAATTGTCTGATCAGCATCACTTCTAACTGACATCTGGAAAAGTACATTCTTTTATTAATAGCAGCCAGCAGCATCACTTCGTGACTTCAAGATCCGTGGTATATTTGAATTAATTTACAACTTTATATTGCTCTGAGTCTTCACAAAATCCTATCAAAACACTGTAGCATGGTTTGATTTCAAATAGAAATTTGAAAAGTTATTTTCTCAAATTTCTATTTGAAATTTTTAGCGAATTTCCCTATAGGGAAGTAGCTATTACCGTAGGTGGCACGGTAAGATCTAGACCCGGGACTGATTTACTTTTTCATTTTGATGTCCCCAGAGGCCAAAAACACCATTCGTTCAAATTTTTATAATTGTATATGTACGTCCTTGAACGCGATAACATGAATTAATTTTTGTCCGATTTTGATGAAGGTTTAAAGGTGTAAAGCGGGATAAACTTGAATGAGTTCAAAAAACCAGCATGATCAGACCATGGGAACGGGGCTTTACGGGGGGTTTTATGGGGTAAAAATTGGTTTTTCTCACTTTATACCCTCAAAACAAAAATCTTCCCAATTTCTCTTTAGACCTTTTTAAAGAGCTTAAAAAACTAGTAATTTAGTATATAAAATTATTTTTGTTCGGTTATTGGTAAGGGATAAAATTTAAAAAATTGTAAATTTAAAATTTCCATGTTATTCTTATGGAGAATATTGTAAAATGTTGTAGTTTGCTTGTTTATATATATATTTTGATCACAATTGGCAAATTTTTTTTTTATATTAAGCTATCAATATTTTACTAAAAAACACACACTTAATTAGTTTTCTTATGGCAGAAAACCTAGGTACTCGTTAAACCTAATGTTATTTATAATATACTAGCAGAGTACCCGTCCTTCGTACGGGGTTGGCATATAAGTTTAAATTGCTTATAGCAGTTATACTCAAGCTTTTCGTTTGCAATGGGGGAGGACAAAGTTTGATAAAATTTGCTTCTTTAAATTGACAGTATACTATGGTATTACACATCTACCATAGCCATAATGTTCTACCTCTTCACCTAAACAATAAAGAAAAATAAAGTATTACAAATTTAAAAAATCACAAATTATTCATGACATTAAGAACATAAACATAACTGTAAACAATCCTACTTTGACAGTTCTCATTGCGTATCGCAGTCATTTGTTGCTGCTTAGTTCAAATTAGCTGTTTACATAAATGCAAAATAAATATAGTGCTGCACCCTGTTGGGAAATCTTATAACTTTTTAATGCTTTTGTATATCATAGAACCAACTTTTTTAGTTGAAACAGCTGACTAAATTCTTTAATTTCCTTTAAATATGAATATTCATAAGGTTAACATGGGGAACTACAGAGCCACTGTGGCGGAGCCCGAAGGGATTTTTGAGATAAGAATATGCCTATATGTTACTCGGGAATGTGAGTTATCATCATGCCAAATTTCAGCCCAATCCATCCAGTGGCTTATGCGTGATTGACCCTTAAACACACAAACAAACAAACAAACACACATCCTACTAATGTTATAAATGAGAAAGTTTGGATGTATGGATGTATTTTTGTGACAAGTAAACGCAAAAAATACTGGTTGGATTGGGCTGAAATTTGGCATGATGATAGCTCACATCAGTGGCGTAACAGAAGGGCCCGCAGGGCCCGCAATGCGAGGGGGCCCGGGAGCTGAGGGGGCCCACGAATTGGTGAGTGGGATACGGTGAGCAGACATGCCCGTGAGACGAGTGGGGCCGAAAAATTGGAGTTCATTCTTATTTAAATGTATTATCATTCATTCAATAATTGTATTGAACAAGTAATAACATTGGTGTTATTAATATTATGTTGTTATCAGTAATCGTTTAATTTCGTTAGGCCTCTTCTTCAGTGATAACGAACTAGGGTAACAAATTTAACGTGTTATAACGTGGGTCTTTGATTATTATGCAATCTTACTTTCGTCGCCAAGAAATACTTTACTACTTTACTTCTCGGTGATTTTGTACACTGCTTAATGTCGTCTGCAAACATTCTGTTACTTTGGAGCCTGGAATCATGAACGTTGGGGCTTTTAATATTGTATCGTATCATTTTACATTTTAGTTTTGTCATGATATTGATTGCATTTTGTTAAATACGATATATACTGCTACTCTAATGACTGTGTTTGTTAGCCCGTATCTTATTTTACCTCCCAATTAACCAACATTAAAAAAAAGACATTTGTTGTAAGATAAACTCTTACAACATAATAAAACGCTTGAAATTCATACAAAGATAAAATAAAATATACCCCCGCCGCAGCAAACCTGCATACTAAGCGAATTTCCATTTGTCTGAGTTGATTTTTAATTAAATCTATTTAAATAACATAAGATTGAGTACCTAGGTTTGCTGCTACAAGGAAACTAATAAAACATATTTTTTTTGTAAAATGTACATAGCTTAGTATAAAATAAATAAATTTGCCAAGTTTGATCAAAATATATTCATAAACAAGCAAACAACAACATTTTACAATATTCTCCGGATAAAGAATAACATGGGAATTTTAAATTTACAATTTTTTGAATTTTCTCCGTTACCAATAATCGTACAAAAACACTTTAATATACTAAATTATTTGTTTTTTTAAGCTCTTTAAAAAGATCTAGAGAGAAATTGGGAAATTTTGTATTGAGAGGGTCAAAAATGAGAAAAACCATTTTTTACTTTATAAAACCCTCCGTAAAACCCCGTTCCCATGGTCCGATCATGCTGGTTCGCGAACTCATTCAAGTTTATCCGGCGTTACACCCTAAAACCAAATTTCATCAAAATCGGACAAAAATTACTCAAGTTATCACGTTCACGGACGTATATATATATATATATACACGGCCGCGCCCGGGAAGCCAGTCACATAAAATATACACTGGAAGTCAGTCAGTTGCACCCCCCAATATATTTCAAGACTATGATATATATATAATATATGTTGGTAAATATCTTAAGCCTAGACATATCTGAACGTATATATCTCTTTTTTTCTTAAAAATACTAAAATATAATTACGTAAAAAATGCTATGCTAATGCAGTCACCACCGCATTTGCATGGGAAAGCCAGTCACGTAAAATTTGTGCTGCTAAGCCAGTCACTATATATTTTACCGCATACCACTGGAATCCAGTCACTGAAAATCCACCCGGGTATCCCGTCACTTCAGTCACTTTCACTCCTGCCCTTCTACTTTGTGATATTTATTTGTTCTACAAGCTTGAAAATCCGCACCTCAAACAAATGGATTATGCTTCAGGCATTGAGCACTCTCATAACCCATCTTTCGCACTTCATTTTAATTAGTTGTCTTCCAGATTACTTAACAATTACTATTCTACAGATTAAATACCTAAATGTCAATGTAATCTTTGGTCGTCTTAATAGTCGTCCTGGCAACTGTGGATACAAATATGTACCGTACTAATTCGCAAGCGTAAGGTGGGAAGTTATTGCTTTATAGTCGCACAATTAGGCCTATTGTTGAGTCCTTGGAGGCAAGCGGCCATCTTGGATGATTTCAAAAAGCTGCAAAATTTATCGTCCAAAAATATTTTTCAAACACCAAAGTGTTTATAATTTAAATAGCTAGTATACTGTGGGATTAGAAATGTTCTTTGTAGTTTTGAATTATTCTCCAAGGGAGTCCATAAAATAAGTTAACGGTCACGGTCATCTTGGAAAAAGGCCAACTAATACGAAAACAATATCCTGTGTTGCGCGGGGCCGTAGCACACAAATAGTTTTCCCGCCTCAGACAATCAAAGGCGTGTGGAACAAGGCAAAATTCTTGTCTCTTTTGTGGCGAGAGGTAGGGGCGAGCCTAACGGGTTCCATTGATGGGCTACCCGGCTACCGACCGACCTGGGGTAGCGACTAGCGAGCCAGTGGATGGTTAAAGGTTCTGCCGGTTATTTCCATCTTATTGCTGGTTCTCGAGCTTTTGAGCTCGTTGTACAGTGAAATATTACTTCCCTATTTTATATAGCCACAATCAAAGCGATTTTTACAAGAAAGAATGAAGATATAGACTCAGTGATGTGTGGTTACTTAATTAAATCATGTTCCTTGATTGTTTACCCTTTTGTAAGAGCCAATAATCAATCAACTTATATTTCTTTATTTTTCGATTTATTATCTATATCAATTCAAGAGGTAGCCCTGTACCTGGTTAACAAATATACCGATTACATTTAACGTGTTTTCTTTGAGTTACGCCCCATGGGATTCCAAAGTTTCACAATGTTTACATTTTTGAAGAATGTAGATAACAGAATGTTTAACGAAGTCAGCTTTAAATGCTGTCAATAAAGTTCTTTGATTTTGCGGTCCAAAAGGTAGAAACTATTCGAATTGTGAAACTTTTAATTTTTGCTACGAGCCTGTTAATTGGAGATTGTGACTTTCTTAATTTAAGGAAGTAAACGTATTAACATGACGTGTTTGGAGTGGGATTTGAAATATGTGACGTGTATCAAACTTTTTCTCTTCAAAATCCTCTCCGATGTAAAACACAGGTACGGCAGCTAGGTTTATTAGAATTCAAAAGTTTTTTAATTGTCCTCCAATGTTTAAAATTTTTTTTCGATCAAGTTGTTTAATGAATATATAATTGTTTTGCCAAATTATGTTTCGAAAACAGGAACTAAAAATAGATCAGGAAATAGATATTTTAGTTCAGAAAACAAAGCCAATCAAATAGGCCTACGTACTTTTTAAATAAAAACACTGGTCAGATGGTTTTTAACTTTGCTTTTTATTTACTTCAATAAATTTCTAATAAAAATCACCACAGGTACTAATCTATATAAATAAAATTAGAGTTTTGTCTGTACATTGCTCAGAATCATCAACTTTTAGATTATTTTTACGTTTTAAACATTCAAGAATCCGAAAAAAGTTTCATCTCAATTCCGTTATTATCTCAATCATCAATTATTATCTCAATTCCGTTGTTGTCTATCTTCCGTCTGTCACGGTCCAAA